GAGGGGTGCGCGGCGGCCCGGCCTCCGCTCGGGGTCGGCCCCGGGAGGACCTTCAGAACGTCTCAGCCGTCCCCCGGCCTCGGCAACGTGTCGCAAGGCCACGTCTTCGGTGTTGATGCGTTCAAGTGACTCTTGAAATCGTGGTCCGATGTCAGGCCAGATTTTTGAAACCCAAGTTCCCCATCAGACTTCCGAGTTGGCTCTCCCCCTTCCTTTACAGGGGGGTGAGGGGAGCAGGGCCTGGAGTGGCGGATTGCTTGGGGAGGGGACGGAAGTCGCCCTTTGACATTCTGCCCCGCGCCCTGGCGCTGCATTGCGGCTGAGGGCTTCTCTGCGCGCCCCGGGACGCGCTCCAGTCTCCAAAGTCCGAGCGCCGGAGAGGAGGCGGCGAGGAAACCCCTCCCCCGAGGAGGTGGACACCGGACCTCTCCACGCGCGCTAGCGCCCGGCTTTCCCCTCGCCATAATGAATAGTGCAGGCCAACCCTTCTGGCGCGTCCTGGCGCCCTCCCTCGCGGGTGGCAGCGTTGTTTGATTCCCGGAGGCCAGAAACTTTCACTCGAGTTCGCAGGAGAGAGGCCGCGCCGGCTGCTGTCCGCGGGGCGCGCACGTCTCCGTCTTCCTTTGCTCGGCGCGGTCCGCCCAGCCGCAGGCCGGCCGCCAGCCCGCGGAGTTTTGTTTCCTTTCCATCATGCAGAAAATTAATCAGCCCGGGCGCCGAGCGGAGCTGAGCACGCGCCTTGTAATTAAGGGACAATGTGCCCCTCGGATTATCTCGTTAGTTTATCAAGAAAACATTTATTATAATTAATTCTCGGCCAGTGTACTTATTATAGAGCGATGACCCAGCACCTGGTAGATAGGCTCCTGGTAGAAAAAAACCACACACACACCAAGGCGGTAAGGGGGGTGGGGGAGGGAGGGGGCGCGACAGATTGCACGAATTGACCGTTAGATATAAGGCGGCGCGGGCCGAGGCGGGCAGTGGAGCCGGACCTGGGGCTGCGAGGCTGCCGGGCTGCGGGGCTGGCAGCGGCGGCGACGCCCGAGTCACTGGCCGACCGGCTGCGGGAACTTGCCGCGCGTCCGCCGCCCGCTCCTTCTCGGTAGGATTCTCCCGTGGCCACCTCCTGAGCAGTCGTTTTGCGGCTTAGATGCGTGAAAAGGTATTTCTGTTTTCTTTCTAGGCTCTGCTCCGGGAGGAAGGGAGAAAGGAGTCCGGGCAGGGCTTTGAAAGTTGGGTGGAGGGCCAATGGGCCTCTCTCCTCTGGGAGTGGACACCTAGGCTGGCTGGGGAGAGTGCCCCATGGTTTTGTGTTTGGAGTACTTCCTTCTACGGATGAACCCAGTGATAAAAAGGGGAAGCAGTCTACCCGGGGGCTTTAGCCATTTTGCGAGGTAAGGGCAGAGGAGCACCAAGAAGGACCGCTGTCCCGCCGCTTTCGGTCGGTTACCACTTCCAATACTGAAATGTGCTACTTTAATGTATGATGTCTCAGCCGTTCCTAATTGGGCGAGAACTCTGCATGTAAGGACGGACCCATCCGTATTTATCATGTGCACCGGGTAGGATTTTAGTTTTTTCTGTAGTTGTTCAGAACTTGCCAGTATGGTGAGATTGCATTAAACACGAAAGAACTCCAGCTTACAGGCTATTTAAGCAAACAAATGACTGTCTTTTAAAGCAAGATTGTTTCCACAGCTTCCAAATCACTGTCTTGAACAGAAAAGAGACTAGAAAACATCAAGTCTTTGTTGTAGGACCAACTAGATCAGTATTACTGATGAGATCATACAAACTCCTCCAACAAGGACATTTACAAAATGATATCAAAATTAGATCTGAGGGTGGAAAGAATAACTTTGGTGCTATGAATTTAAATCGGGAAGTGAAAACTCAAAAGGAAAAAAGATACATGGGGCGAACTTGCAGTAACCTCGTTCCATTTGTGAAACTTTGTGTCTCTACCTTTGTAAGCAGTGTAAATAGGAAAGCCCATAGTCATTAAAATTCAGTAGGACCTTTGGAAAAGTAAGAAGGAACTTCTCCTAACCTTGGATCCGCCATTTTGAAGCAAACTCTCAGAGGGCCAAAGTTGCAAGGTAGAGATCCTTGCAGGAGAAATGTCATCTAGTAGGAAAATAAAAAGCGAGACTTGCCAACCGCCGGCCTATCTTCCCGTCCGTTTGGGATCCCTTGGCTCGGGGGAGTGAGAGACAGTCAGCTGAAGAAAGTAAATAACTTCCTTTTCCTCCTTTTCTTTTCTCTGCCTGAGCTCTCTTTCTTGTAGGAAACTTGAAAGGTAGGGAGAAATTACACTAGTTTCACAACTTTGGGTGTTTGTGTATCTACTTTCTTCAAAACTAAAATGTTCAAAAGGCAGCTAGAGTGAGCAGGGGACTGCTGGAGCTGCTGAAGACCCAAATCTCCGAAAATGTGCCTCCCGCAGGACCCGCAGCCTCCACGCATCAAAATCAACATGGAAGCGGCTTGCTCTGCAAACCCGCACCCTTGCTCCTTGCAGCTGTGGGGCCTCTCATTCTCTGATTGGTGGGATTCTAACTTTACTTCAGAATTTCTAGCAAACCCTGTGCCGGCCTTGAAGAATTTTCTTTTTTTTTTGCACTATGATTACATATTTGATGGGTGTCTATTAAAAGTTAGATTTTTGTTTATTTAGCTTTGGTTCTTTATACACATATAATATATAATCAAGGTCCTCCAGAACCCTAATAAATCTGTTACTTGCCTCAAAATCTAATTACCCAGACTACTAATTAGGTGAAAATGATGACTGGAAATGACTCTAAATGTGGAATAATAGTGGTTAAGCAGTTTTCTCAAGTTTGTCGATTAGCAAGTTGACATTTAGATGTTAAATGCGCTGATATTTTAGGTTAGAAGCTGTTGCGAGTGGTGAAAAAGCTAAGATAATTAAAATCAGCTCTGGAAAGGCAACAGTCTGGGGAGGTAGATTTCTTGAATTGTTTCTTTGTTTCTCACCAATGGGCTTTGTTATCAGCATTATTTATTTAGCCAGAGAGTTCTTTGTCTCTGCAAATGGCCCCAATCAAGTTTTGTTTGAGACAATTAGCTGGTGCCAGCCAATGAGTCCTATGCAAATGCAGGGATAGGAATGCGATGTGTGCATTTGAAGGCGTGGGGTTTTGTTCTTGGGGCAGGCTGATTGTAATTGCTTTCTTCGGCTACTTTTTTTTTTTTAAGTTTAGGGTGGGGGTGGGGAAGACAGGTTTATCAGGTCTCCATCCCCTCTAGTTTCACAGAAGCTGGGGGGTTGGGTAGGTGGGGAGGAGGGTCTGCCAGCTCTTTAAAAGCCTCTGCCCCGGGTAGCCCGGGCTCTTTTTAAGTTAGGGGTGGAACGTGGAAGAGCTGCTGCCTCCGAAGCAGTAAACCAGCACCTCTGTTTGTTTGTTTGCTTTGCCCTTAGTTCCACCACTCCAAACCCACCCACCAAGGACCCTGAATCTGTCCACCCCCGGCGAAGCAGGACCTTCCGGCTGGGTCCCCCCGATTTGGGCTGACTTTGCGCCTCCTAACAACCTTAGCATGATGTCTTATCTTAAGCACCGCCTTACCCAGTCAATGGACTGAGTCTGACCACTTCGGCATGGACTGCTGCACCCCTCGG